TATATGTGTGTATACCATCGTAACAAAACAATTCTGTGAAATCAATAAAATTTATTTCTGGAACATTGGACAATGAGTATAGACAAATTTGTTTTCTCAAGCCATAATCAAACACATACACGATATTAATTACTGATCAGAGCGTCTATATGAGGAAGAAGGAGAGCATTTTTAATGAGAGCTAGGTAATTAGCTCGAAATCCGTTTTGCAGTTGTCGAGAAAAGCATGCACGTTAACAGTGGCGGCAGCAGCGGCACTAGCAACAACAACACAAAAGTTAGTCCCTTGAACAATTATAATTATCACCTATTCTGTAACGTTGAATTAATGTTCGATGTAAAAATAATGAAGAAGAAATCCAAACTTGTGTGGTAACCGAAATAAACTTTAATATATGCTCGCACACAGTGTGTCCATCTTGCACAAAGAGACAAAGAAACGCGCACACGCGTGTGCTTACTCTCCCGACCTCAACCAGACTCCTCCACTCCTACGTCTCTGTCCTCCCCCGTTTCTCTAATCTTTCTTCTATATATTACCCCCAAAACCTCTACATCCTGAGCGCACATGTCACCCGTTCTCCCAAACCGCGTCCTACCTCTATTTCACAATGACCCTAGAAACGCACGACCTAAAACACGTTTACAATTCTCCCTATAACATCAATGTTGCCGCAACAAAAGATGCGCGACGCTGTGTCAAATAGACTATTACTAAAACAACCCCTAGTCTAACTCCACTGACTACTCTATGTAAACATCTGTAAAAGATAGATAGATAGATAGATAGATACTAGGTTTATTGCAAAACCAGTGTTAACAACGTTACAATTAAAATAAATTTTGCAAACAAGATATCATCAGGCAGTATAAAACTGAAATTGGTGATATTTACAATAATATATGTCCCATGATAAGACATATTTATCACTTAAAATGTTGTTTGTAAAATTATATCACTACAACTAAAAAACCGTCTTTAGAATATGTACTAAATTTAAAATAACGTGATCCTTGGTCAAAAATAGTTACAATTAAAATGCGACACAATGGTAGAATCAAACATATCACATAACCGAAAGTTGCCCAGAGAGTTATTTCAAATAGACCAAAATGTTTATAAAGAGGCGCAAGCAAAAGACTCATTATTTTCCATGCTATTCTAAAAAATGCAGTGCTTGTTTACTATTTGTTAATCATCCTGCACATGTACGGAACAGTGCTATTGAAGTACTGGCTGGTACGAGAGACTTTTGCTAGCCGGAGTTTACTAGACTTCCGTGTTATGCGGTTAGACACATTTATTGCTGAAGGAGGGCAAATATCCTGTAATCGTTTACAACTTTTGAGCTGATAAGCAACATTTTCACAAAGCTGCTCGCGTCGAAACGCAAGTCTTTGGATTTGAAGCTGAGATAGTACCTCATCGTACATGTCGTACCTATTCCAATTATTATAACCTATTATTATTTTTACTGCCCTTACTTGAACAGATTCAATTAGACGTGAGAGCTCTTTGGTAAGGCCCGAGTGCCAGACGGGTGCAGCATATTCCAGAATCGGTCTGACGTAACCACAGTAAATTTGTACGAGATCTTCACAGATAAGCCTAGATTTTTTTAGTATACGAAGCATGAACATTCTTTGGCTTTACACACAGGTTGTAAATCAAAATGGTTGAAATCTCCAGTAATTATCACTCCCGCATCTGGGTAGTCAATAAGTAGTGCGTCAGTCGATTCAGTTAGATGATTGTTCAAAGTTTCATGGTGCACCATGGTAAAACATACGTTACAATTCTATAAACGCTTTAAAATCTACAACAATTTCTCGTGGTACAAGAATGTACCGTACGACAATGCATGCTGTATTAAACTAATTCTACACTATAATCAAACCTCGAGAACCCCCGAAGAAATACCAATGCTAATTGCCTATTGTTAACGTTATACTTGCTGTGAATGCCGGACATTGGCGTCGCTGATATATGTGCTTATTAGTATAGGTAAATAAGTGGTTGTTGGCGATATTATGAAAAAGCTTCTGTGTTACCGGAATAGAGTGGAATTCTGTGTGAACCCGGTGTGTATCATGAGTAGCATGGCGTTGACAAAGCAAGTCTCATAAACAAATACGTGTATGTTAAATAACAGCGCGCGCGCGCGCGTGTGTGTGTGTGTGTGTGTGTGTGTGTGTGTGTGCGCGCGCGCGCGTGTGTGTGTGTGTGTGTGTGTGTGTGTGTGTGTGTGTGTGTGTGTGTGTGTGTGTGTGTGTGTGTGTGTGTGTGTGT